GTATTCCCCATCCCCTGGACAGGGAAGTATTCTTATCACTGTGTAGGAGGCTCTTTGTCTGAAATATATATAATTCTGGTCACATCTTTGCAATAAGTATATATCCACAAAGGAAGAACAGATGAAGAGAATGGATATTAGCGTGATAAGACAAGTGCAGAGGTGACCTTAGAAATAAGGCTGAAAGAGGTTGACTTGTTTAGCTTAGTCAAACAAAGCCTAAGAAAAGATGTGGTTGCTCTCTAAACTATGAAGAAAGCAAGCCCCAAAGAGGGAAAAGAACTACTTATACTACAAGGATGTTGCTGGCACGAGAACAAATGTCTACAAATTCATAGCAAATAACTGTTAACAGGATGTCAAAAAAGGGTTTCAAAGCCTTGGAAGAGTAACTTTCCAATGGGAACAATGGGCACAACCTAGTGAATTTTGCAATTAAAATTAGTATTTTTACAATTAAAATTTAAATCTTTGAATTTGAAGATTAAATGGTGGCTGATATAGGAAAGGACGGGACTTCATCCAAATTGTGTTTCCTTGTTCTATGCTTTCATACAAGAATTACTACTCACATCTACCCTCCCTCAGCCCAGGTCACCATCCAATCTGATCCTTCCCTGACCATCATTGCCTTTGCCTTGTGCACCTCCAAATACAGCCACATTACTCTCCACATCCCCTCAAGCCCTTTGTCTCAAGCTACTCTTTTGGTCACTCTCCCTTCCGCTACCTCTAAAAATAATACTCCAAGGCAGACATCAGACAAGCAAAGTTTCAGCCCAGGCATTTGTAGCCTTTCCTGGACACAGTGTTCTTTTGTTGAACATTGGAGCTGCATCCTTCTTTGCAAAAGGTAATTGGAGTGGTCAGAAAGAGGGAAATCTACAGCAGTTTCCCTTGCTGAATTTTCTTTGGTCATCACTCTTTCTAGGATTTTCTTGGCCTGACCCCAAGAGTAACTTCTGTAGCCAAGAAATCTGCCTACATAACTGAATTCTTACAATTCGGGCATGAGTCTGCTGGTCCTGGGCAGGTTGTTATCAGCACAGACAGAAAAAATTGGGAAGGTGCTTCACACTTACATTTGGCTATGTTATGGGGGATGCTCCCATCAGAACAAGATGCAGGGAGGGCTGGTCTTTACTTGTGCGAGTAAGCCACTGATGCTTAGCCTGCAGCAGTTCAGCCTAGATTGCATGGCACTGTCTCAACGTAAGTGCACCCATTTTTGTCACTGGAAATGCATGCCACGTTGAGTAATATTATTCCAATCCTATTACAGTTCAGCAAGAAATAGTCTCCATTGCTAGATTTGTGTCTATTTTTGGATGTAACCTAAATATTGAATGTCAAATCACAGAGAGGTCACTACACTCTGAATGTAGAAATATCTTACAGGCCTTCTGTGTAGCACAATGGACAACAAAAGCAAACAAAACAACTGTAAAAATCCATAGTCACATCATGATCCCAGAAATACTCAGTGAACTACTGCTTACTTCAGTAATCCCACTAGTGCCTTTGTCTCTAATACAGCACAGTAGCATAGCGGGGTAACATGCTTTTCACTTAGCTGTCACTTACGCTACATTGCAGAAAGACACAGTAAAATACTGAGAGATACCATTAAAGTTCACTACGCTGCTATTATGGCCATACATACTTCTATTTTTAGCTCTAACCTAAATAGAAGATGTAAAAGCACAAAAGGGTCTCGTGCATCTGCATATGTAAAAATCATTCAAGCCTATCACGCACATCAAGACCAAGAATAAAGAAGTTAAACGTCTTTTCAAAATTTAGGTTAACTTCTGGAATGTCAATTAACTTTTTGTATATGTAGGCATTTTTTCTATCTTCCACATACTAAAAACTGTAATCCCTCCCTTCAATTAAAAAAACAAAATCATCAAGGATATTTAAGTTCTGCTAAAATTACAATTTTGCAGTCATTTCCAGTGCCTTGAATTGTAAGTATGGAGTTTCTCCCGGTGCCTTTTAAATATTTGATGCTTTCTTTTTGTTACAATCATATTCTTAGGGAGCAATACAACGATCCCTCCTCAGAAGTTCAAAGGGTAACATATGTTTATATTTTTAACTCCAAATGGGTCAGTCTGAAAGCACTTAAAGGCAAAATTTAGTCAACACCCAAACTTAAATTTTATTTTTCACTGAAATATCTATTGGTAAACACTGAAAAATTACAATCCTCTCATTTTAATATAAAATGAGTAAAAATATTCCTCACTAATAAAGTGACTGTGATCTTTCTGCATAGAAATCATATTTAAGTCTAGAGGGATTTGGACTAAGAAATAGTTTGGAAGGATAAGTGACAGTTCTCTTTCCCACCTCAGGTGACTGGAAACTATTTTCCAAGCATCTCTTTAACATCATTATACTTTACTTTAAATCTTGGTTCATCTAAAGCGTGTACAGAAATGAAAGTACAGAAACTGCAGCTTCTGCCCACTCAATCTAAAGCGTGTAAGTACAGAAACTGCAGCTTCTGCCCACTCCTGACTATGAGTGCCATTTTAATAACTTCCAAATTTTGCAAGAAATACGTAAATTGTACATAGACACATGTATGCATGTATAACATGTAGTTGATTCTCCAGTATACTAGCCACTGGAATCATCAGCACCAAATGAATAACAACTGACATCCTTTTGTTTCTAAGGGTAGATAAGTTTTCACAGTCTCTGCCTCTGCTCCCCCACTCAGCTCAATTAATGCATAGCCTTTGGACTTCCCACGTAGGTCGCATCTATGGTTACCCATTTCTGTGTATTAGGAGCTAAGAAAATAAAATTGCCAAAGGTGACATCTCGGATTTATTTTGCCCACTATCAAAAGCTCCTAAAAAGGTGTGTCATATTTCAAATTTAAAAATTCACCTGAATGACTGAAATACAGCGAGATGTAATGAGACACATTTTGGTTGTTCTCATTACAGAGATCAGGGATACTTTTGCATTTTTGCTATTATTCAATCCGTTAATGTGTTGATAACCTGAGTTTCACGATCTTGCTCAATAGGAACACGGAAATCAGTTGCGCCAGGGTTTTTTTAGATCATCTTTGTTATAGAAGTTTTGCAATTATGAACTACTCTCCAGCCAAGGATACACCCCCAAGACACTATCAGGGTTCTTGCAGACACCTTCTTAGTTAAGAGATTGCCAAAAAGGTTTTCAACTCCCCATTACAAAGGTTTTAACTCAGCCTTTTTTTTCAGATCCTCAAAATAATCAATGATATTCCCAAAGTACACCAATGCATTAGGTACAAATTCTTCTTTACATACTGCCACTGCTATTTTCCTGGACTCTACAATTTATTACTGAAAGACACTGACACTTCTGCCTTTGCAAGATTTATTCCAACCCCCCCCCTTTGCATAGTCAGAGACCCATGACATGTGCAACCCTCTGCCACTACAGAGAACAGAACTTAAAACTGATTATGACTTTGATTAAATACTAGGTAAACCATCATGAGTAAATCAAAAAATATTTGAGAAAAGATCTTTCCTTGTCAGTAAGATTTATGTGGAAAAGATGTTCAGAAAAGAGTGAGGGGGAAAAAAACCCCACAACCCACAAACCAATTTCACCTTGCCAAGAGATAAATAAGAGAAGGCATGATAAACTAATTGCATAGTTAAGAGCAAATCAGGAATCTTTTCTAGAACAGGGGAAAACTTACTAAAAATCCCTACTTGGAAATTCAAGCGTTATAAAAGGAAGTGCTATATAGCTGAACATGTATTTGATGCAAAGTTTTGATGCAAGAAGTTGCTGAAGCTACCCTTACATCAAGGTTCAAAAAGGGACTGGCCATTTACATGTATTTAAAGGTACAATAATGATTTAAAAAATGAAAATAAACATAATGGTTACAGACTTAGGACAACCTCTAATAATTGTAAATTAGGATAAAAACAATTGCAGGAAGCAGATTATACCGTGTCTGTCTAACATGGGCTCTTACATTTGCCTTAGAAACATCTGGAATAGCTCTTACCACAGTTCTGGCCTGGGCAGAGCCAACAGTGCTTAGTTACCGTTATGCACACTAAGGAAATTTGACAGTCTGCAGGCAAAACATCTCAAAGCTTCACAAAAATATAAAGACGACTCATAGCACCTATTAAAAGTACAATCAGTGTTATTGTGCATATAAGAAAACTGAATCTTGGACAAGTGACACAGCAACACCCAGCAGATCAGACCTGCAGACATATCCTACCTTGTAGCCCTAAACTGTGATCAAAGTAAGATATTTTCTCCTGCAAGTCACCCATCATGCTACTGAGAAGAAACCAGCTTGGTCAGAGGCTCAGAAGAGAATTATTTTAGATTCACAAAACCTATGGATTGCTTGGAAAGAGAGATGAGCACCTAAAGAGGTGCTGGATATTGAATTCCTGCTACTCCACCACAGACTTACCTCGGGCATTGTAAACCAGCATCTTGGCTCAGCAAAGTACTCACCCCGCAATGAAAAAATCTCAGGAATTGGGGGAGGGGGAAATAAAAAATAATTTAAAAAAAAATACAGGCTCCATACAGCATAGATTAGAACCACCCATGGATTAGATACAGGCTCCATTCAGCATAGATTAGAACCACCCATGGATTAGAAACTTGCATGGATGCTTATCATGCCCCTACTTAGTTATCTGAAGACAATGGCTTGGTTTGCAAGGGATTTAGTTTTCACTTACATCTTCTTCACCTTCAGTTATGTCTGACAGTCCTAAATGTTTGTGGAAAAAAATCTCTTTTGCCATCCTATGGCCATATTTCACCCAAAGAGATCTTGTCTTTAGGAAAGATATAAAAGGAAGAGAAGCTTCCTCCAGGTGCCATGAAATGATGCCTGCTCTCCTGCAAATACCCTCAGTACCTTCTTCTGCACTGACAGCAACCCAGTGCAGACGCAAGGCCATGTGCCTGGGAGAAAAAAAGTGAAAGGAAGAAGTACTTACCACGAGGACAGCACTCAACCGATCACTTTGGACCTGCTGCACTTGGATGCAGGGTCCTGGCACTTGTAACCTTGAGCTGCCGGGAATGTTCCCAGCATCACCGTTTGGGATGCTGCTGTTACTAGGCCCAAGACCTACAGATGCCCTGTACAAGTAGGTGTGAGTCAGTTTACCCACACCAGTGACCTCCAGCATGTCTGGTGGGAGGTGGGAGCTGGGAAGCATGTGCACGCTATAGCAATACTTTTCATACTCATCAGCTGGACAGCAGCAGCCGCCGCAGCAGCAAGTCCGGCAGCGGCACAGCCGCACAATGGCAAGAAAGAGGAGGAATGCCGCAAAGATGCAGGAGACACAGGCAAGGGAAACGATCAAGTAGATGTTTGTAGTGTTGAGCAGTGGTGGTGGCTCCCCACTGTCATCGAAGTCTGGCAGTGCCTGAGGCAGGGTGTCAGCCAGCAGGATGCCCACCGTCACAGTAGAGGAGAGCGGCGGATCCCCGTGGTCCCGCACCACCACAACCACCTTGTGCTTGAGGAAGTCAGTGGAGCGCAAGGAGCGTGTGGTGCGCAGCTCACCAGAGTGCGGTGCCAAGTGGAACAGGGTGGAGTCGGAGGAATGGGCGAGGTGATAGGAGAGCCAGGCATTCTGCGCATTGTCCTCATCATCCGCCACTACTTTAGTCACCAGGTAGTCCTCATCAGCCAGGCGGGGCACAACTTCCACAGCTACTGAACCATTCTGACTGATGGGGTACAGGATGGCTGGGGCATTATCATTCTGGTCTGAGATGTAAACATTCACAGTTATGGCAGCACTCAAGGCTGGTGACCCATTGTCCTTGGCTTCCACTTGGAAATAGAAGCTCCTAAGCTGCTCAAAGTCAAAGGCACGTTTTGCATAGATGCTCCCGTTGGCCAAGCTCACAGACAAAAGGCTGGCCAGGGCACTGCCTGCAACTGTGGAATTCCTGAGCGTGTAAGAGACCCGTCCGTTCTCCCCCATATCAGGGTCAGATGCTGAGACCTGGTAGAGAAAAGCACCGAGTGGATTGTTCTCCTCCACAAACACATCAAACGTGTCAGCACTGAAGACAGGGGGGTTATCATTCACATCAGAAATCTGCACCCAAAGGGTCTTCTGAGTGGTGATGGGTGGAGAGCCCAAGTCTGTGGCAGTAATGGTGATGTTGTACCCACTGATCAGCTCTCGGTCCAGAAGCCCACTGGTGACCAGGCTGTAGTAGTTTTCAAGGGAAGGCTTTAACTGGAACGGAAGGTTATCAGGGATCTGGCAGGTTACTTTCCCATTCTCCCCAGGGTCCTTATCCATAATACTCAGCAGAGCTATCACTGTGCCAGGAACAGCATCCTCAGGAATGGGACTGGAAAGGGATGTAATTGTTATCTCTGGGCCATGATTGTTCACATCAATGATTTCCACCAGCAGCTTAGCTGTGCTGGACATGCCAAATGCCCCGTTATCCCTTGCCTCGATAAACATCTCGAGGAGAGGTCTCTGAACAGCTAAAATGCCATTGACTGTCACCTCCCCAGTGTGCGGGTGAATTAAGAACATTCGCTGTAGATCAGCAGAAGTAATGTTGCTAAATGAATACCTGACCTCTCCATTTGGACCTTCATCCAAGTCCGTGGCATGCACTTGCACTACCAATGTGCCACTGGGGGAGTTTTCCAAGATATTTGCCCTGTAGACTGAGTGCTCAAATTCTGGTGCATTGTCATTGGTATCCAGCACAGTTACAATGACCGGGACATCACCAGACTTTGGAGGATCCCCACCATCTTTGGCTGTAAGGACAAGTCTGTGAGTGGCTTGCTGCTCCCTGTCTAAGGCTTTCTTCAGCACCAATTCAGGATATTTACTCCCATCCCCGCGTGTCTGCATTTCTAAATGGAAATGTTCATCAGGGCTCAGAGTATAATTCTGGACACTGTTGGTACCTTCATCGGGATCTTGGGCGTTGGGAAGTGTAAACCGTGCGCCGGGTGACAGGAACTCAGGCACATTTATATGATAGTCACTTAAGGAAAAGCTGGGGGAATTGTCATTTATGTCCAAGACTTTAAATTCCATCCTATAAAGCTCTAGAGGGTTTTCTAACACGAGTTCATAACTCAGAAGACAGGTAGACTTTAATTCACAAAGCTGCTCTCTGTCTATGGGCTCGTTAACAGACAAAGCCCCCGTGCTTGCATTTATATAAAAATATTGCTTACTTGAACCGGTGATCATGCGACATTTCCGAGCTGAAAGTGTAGCTGCGTCTATTCCTAAATCCTTCGCTATGTTTCCAACAGACGCTCCACGCTCCGTTTCCTCGGCGATAGAATACACTACTTGCCCGTTCGCGGTGCAGCAAATAAGGCAGAAGACCATTAAATAGACCCGCATTCTTCCTCCCCTGGCTCAGCTCCCCGCAGACCGGCTCAGCAGGAACATAATCCAGAATTTCAGCAAACCCCCGAAGTTCCCAGCGTGAAGCGAACGGGCAACCAGGGCGCGCCGGCGGCAAGGCGAGAAGTTCGCTGCAGGTGCGGGAGGCTCCCCAGCTCCGCGACGGCTCCCCCCCCTCCCCGCCCCGCGCCGCCGGC